TTGGGATCACTATTTCCCAAGTGCTCACCTACTTGAATGTTGGTCAAAAGATCAACATTGTTTGTTAAAACCAGGTCTAGAGAAGCATCCATTCTAGTTGGTGCTTGTACAAGTTGTGACATGAAGGTGTCATTTAACAAGTTTAAAAATAGTGATGTCCCGAACTGTTTGCTGGCGAATAGTTCCTGGCAAACATAGCTTGTTTGCGTTCGCCACGGATGGCGAACATATGCGCTGTTCGGTCCGCCCCCTATTCGTCATCATTGAGTAAACTTTGACCCTGTACCTCACAGTCAGCAGACACATTCCAGCCAATCAGCAGCAGACCCTCCCTCCCAGACCCTCCCACCTCCTGGACAGAATCCATTTTACATTCATTGTGAAGCTGCATTCTTAGTGAGAGGAGGGACAGTGTAGCTGCTTCTGATTTGATAGGGAAATTGATAGCTAGGCTAGTGTATTCAGTGTCCACTACAGTCCTGAAGGACTCATCTTTTTAGGGCTAGAACATCAGTCTGCATTTCTTTTTCTGTGTAATGTAATTGCAGTTGCCTGCCTGCCAGCCTGTGTCAGGCTCACAGCATATACTGTGCCCACTTGCCCAGTGCCACCACTCACTCACTGGTGTACCAATAGCTTGCATTTAAAACAAAACAAAACTTTTTGGACTGTAATATAATAGCAGTCAGTTTCCTTCACGCGTGTGCGTTTCAGGGCCTGCCAGGGCACAGTGTCACACCAGTGCAACTCATATCTGGTGTAACAGTAGTGTACATTTAAAAATAAAATAAAATTTTGACTGTAATAGATTGAATAGCAGTTAGTTGTCTGCCAGCGTGTGTGTCAGGCTCACAGCCTATACTGTGCCCACTTGCCCAGTACCACCACTCATATCCGGTGGCACATTAGATTGCACGCGCAGTGCCCCAAATTTGAAGTAGGAGGACCGACCAAGCATCTTTTTCCATCTCCCGGTTCCTAAAATCGATGCCATATACATGTCCCCTGATAGGGGACATAACAGAGATTAAACTGATAGGAATAGTACTACTTAACACACCTTATAATAACGCATGGAGAGGCAACGCAGAGAGAGGAGTCTGAAGAAGAGGAGTCAGAGGAGGGAGGTGGCTTTGAGGAGGTGGAAGACCAAACACAGCAGGCGTCCCAGGGGGCTTGTTGTCACCTTTTGGGGACCCTTGGTGTTGTACGTGGCTGGGTGGAGGAATAGACCTTCAATGACATCAGTGAGGACAAGGAACGGGACATGGCTAGCTTGGTATCCAACCTTGTGCAAACGGGGAGTTTGCGGTTGTGCAAATGGACTGTTTGCGGTTGTTTGCGGTGCATTAAATGGGGAGTTTGGTCTGTCATTGTGAAGTGGGCGTAACCCTTACACTACCTGATCGATACAACATCATACCTGATGTTTTAAAGCACGTTATTCCAAACAATTTAGGAATGTTAGGTGATTTATGCCCTTTACGGATTAAAACCAGACTCTGCATCAACTATGTAATTTTCCATGGGAGTTTTGCCATGGATCCCCCTCCGGCATGCCACAGTCCAGGTGTTAGTCCCCTTGAAACAACTTTTCCATCACTATTGTGGCCAGAAATAGACCCTGCCTATTAGTAAACTTAGTAAACGAGAGATGGAATGGATTTTTAAATTAAATACTTTGATCCCAAATGGATTAAATGCAGATTTTGAGATGTCATTTTTTAATTTAACTTTTTAATTTAATATCTTCAGTTTTATACATATCTCTTACATTTTATTTTATGTTTTTAAGGCTTTATTTATTATATAATATTTATTACTCTAGTTTTTATGCATAGACGTTTTGGGTATATTTGACTTTTTAATATTAGCACTTGCCTTATCTTTTTATTAGAGGCCATCTATATATCTTAACATGTAGATTTATGTTGGAACAGTTGCACTATCTTGCATATTCTTGTTACTTTATAAAGATACATGGGCCCTTTTAAATTCCATTTGGATATATTACCTTCCTCTGTCCAAATAGCAGACCTTATATTATTAGATATACTAATACTATGTATTAATTTAGGATCTGTTTATTGTACATATTACCTGTAGTGATGTACCGAACGGTTCGCCAGCGAACGGTTCCCGGCGAACATAGCATGTTCGCGTTCGCCACAGCGGGCGAACATATGCGCGGTTCGACCCGCCCCCTATTCGTCATCATTGAGTAAACTTTGACCCTGTACCTCACGGTCAGCAGACACATTCCAGCCAATTAGCAGCACAGCCTCCCTAGCAGACCCTCCCACCTCCTGGAAGGCATCCATTTTAGATTCATTCTCAAGCTGCATGCTTAGTAAGAGGAGGGAAAGTGTAGCTGCTGTTCATAAGATAGGGAAAAGCATAGCTAGGTTAGGATAAGGGTATGCTTTTTTTTTATTT